TCCTCAGAAAAAGGTCTACTATCTAGAATATATAACAATTTAAAAAAAAAAATCAAACCTCCTAAATTTGAAGGCCCAATCCAAAAATGGGCATCTGAAATGAATAGACATTTCTTAGAGATGAAGAAATAGTAAATAAATATATAAAAAAATGTTCAACATTGCTGGTCATTCCAGGGATGCAAATGAAAACAACACTGAGATTCCACCTCACTCCAGGAAGAATGGCTGCTATAATGCTATCAATCAATAACAAATGCTGGTAGGGCTATGGCCAAAAAAAGGATCTCTTCTCCACTTTTGGTGGGAGTGCAGGGTGGTGCAACCACTGTGGAAATCAGAACAGAGATACTTCAAAACCTAGGATTAGAGTTCCCATTTGACCCAGCTATTCCCCTGCTGGGTATTTTCTAAAAAAATTAAAACAATCATACCACAGTGATATATGTGCACCCATGTTTATAGTGGCACAGTTTGTAATAGCTAAAACTTGGAAACAGCCCAACTGCCCATCAACTGGAGACTGGATAAAGAAAATGTGTTTTGTTTTGTCTTGTTTGTATAAAATGGAGTACTACTCAGCCATAATGAATGAGAAATTAAGAGACATTTATAGCTAAGTGGATGCACATTGAGGTGATACTCAAGAGAAATAAATAAGACACACATGTGTAAATACCAAACAGTTTCTCTGGTGTGAGAAACTTGAAAGTATAAATTAGTATCAAAATGTATAATCGATAATGTGAAATAGGAAGAAAAGGTGCAAAGGGGAAGGGGAAGTAGGAGGAGTAGGAAAAAGAAAAGAAGGGAAACGAATAAATATGAGAAAAGGAAAATACAGGAAACAAAGTCTTTGTAAATAGACAAGACAGTGGAACCACTGAGCTAAATCCCCAGCCCTAATCTTTGTAAATAGGGAGGGGAGTACAGGGAAGGGTAGGAGAATGGGGAAAAAATAAGATACATTATGTGAAGGTATAAATTCCCAATAATAAATGTCATCATATTGTATACCTAAAATGTACAAATAAACTTAATGAAATTAAAAAAGAAAGAAAGAGCCACTTCTAGGATATTCACATTGTCTTCCCCGAGACTTAGTTCTTGGCAAGTTGCTAGTGAGGCCTCAGATCTTCATAAAATGTTGGCTCATGGCCTCCTTAAGTTCCTTATCATTTGAAATTCTCCATACAGAATCTCAAAGTGCATCACCAAGAGGGGAGTTTCCAGCAAGCTGGAAATCCTAGGTTTTTGGTAAACTTACTATAGAATATTCCATCACTTTTATCATATTCTATATCACTGGGCCCACAGCACAGTCAAGAGGAAACAATTCCACAAGGTCGGGAGCATCACTAGATGGGAATCTTGGAGACCATGCCAGAAGCTGCCTACCCTAAGTACTGCTATTTGGTGGGTATTTTTCATTTAGGAGACACAATGATACATAAGGTAAAGACCTCAGCCTTGAAGAATTTCTACTAAGGATTGGAGAACCCGAGGAGAGAGGGTGTTCACTAAATGAATTATGTTAAATATGAAAGGGGTGTGGTAGAGTTACACAGAGGAGCTATTGGACCAAAGAAGACACAGCAGCTCACTCTGCATGGGCGATTGGAGGTACAACATGAGCTACATGATAGAGGCTGCATAATGACTCACTAGGTAACTATTATAAACAGAACGAAGAAGCGAAGAGGCGTAAAAGTTCACTGTCCTAGGGAATGGGAATTGCTTTGTGCTACTGGATCATAGGGCTCTGTGGGAATGATGGAGGGGAAAGTGGGTGAAATTGAAGCTGGATATTATAGAACACTGTTATGTTATGCTAAGTGAATATGGCTTTAGGGAAAACAGTTCTCTAGAAGCCTCAAGGGATATTGCTGCTTCCAAAGAATAACTTTTTTGGAGTCATGCCATGCACGTGGAATTATACTTGCATCATCTTCACTGCCACCTTTTGGAGCAGGTCCTACCATTTCTTACATTTAACTAGATGCTTGGTGGAAACTAGTTTTAGCCCCAGATCATATTGTTACAGAAGGAATAGTCAAATGACACACAGGCAGCAGAATGGAAGTAAAATAAAAGTTTACTCCATCCAGGGGGACTGATCGATTCCCCACTGGGTTACAACTCCTTCTTTTTATAGGGTTTTACAGCCTTGATCTCATTCAGTTGGTTACATTGCATTTTCACAGTTCACATTGCTGATATTCTAAACATAGTGGTGACACACTTGAATTTCAACCCAGATGCAGTTCTTGTTAGGGGAGGTTACCTTTAAGAGTTATCTATTCTAGCCAAGGGGAAGGGAGCATGTTTGGCTAATAAAGCTAACAATGATTCTTTTCATTTTCAAAACTTTTTAGGGAGACTAGAGGTCTCAGGTGCTGGTTAATTCTGAACTAAACAGAGCTAAGGGCAAATTTATCTTACATTGTGACATTTCCTCGTAAGACTTGAATGAGCTAAAGTGACTCCATGCTAATAGGCCAGAGACTGTGCTTCTTCCTATGCTAATTGCTAACTTGGTTAACAGCCCGCCCAGGGACAAATGGTATGACTAAAGGTGACCATAGAACATTTCCTGCATAAGATAAGCAGTGTGTTCGGAATCTTGTCCTCTGGTAGTTCTGTAAATGCCCTGACCTATGTTTGAACTTTTTTGTTTAGAAAAACCCTAAAAAAAAGACCTCAGCCCCTGAGCAGTTCCCTCTCTGAGCTACCTGGCTCTGGGAGTGCCCTCTGGCCAGACTAATAAAGGTCTGTTTACCATCTAACCTGGTGTGTTCCTTTTGTTCCTCCGTGGAGCTCAGGGAGCCTCTCTGGGTTTTAGGACCCAGCATCATGGAGGCCTTTTCGGCTGTTCACACTCCGCTCCATGGAGTAGAAGTGAGACTTTGAATCTTACATCCTAAGTTTTTTGCTATGAGTTTTCCCTATCATTATGTCCCAAAAGTGTCAGGGCCAAGATGACATCATGGTGTGATAACTGCTCCTTTTCTCAGTTCTGTGCCTTTCCCTGTTCCTACCATAAAGTGTCTCTCATACATGTTTGCTGAATTGTTTCCCATCATCTTCCTCTGTCCTCTGTCTCAAGGCAATTCTTTTTTTTTTTTTTTTTTTTTTTTGGTACCGGGGATTGAACTCAGGTCCTTGTGCTTGCAAGGCAGGCCACCAAACCGCTGAGCTAAATCCCCAGTCCTCAAGGCAATTCTTGAACTCACAATTTGTGTTACAAAAAGTAAATGCTTCGGTGATGAGTTTTTGTGTCTCAGAGGCTTTTTCTCTTTTCCTCATTTTGAAATGTGGCAACACATACAAACGTAGGTATGATAGGAAAACAAATTTAGCTTTAATTACACTGACCCTTTGGATCAGTGTTTACTAGAGAAGCAGATATAACGAAATATATGAATATACACGAAATTAAAGATTGCCTTGCCATGGCCACTCAGAATCAGGTGTGGAAGACTGCAAAAGGTCTGTCTGCACATGGGAATTAAAGGATCCAGGGGAAGGCCTGAGGCTCGGAGGCTGAATGGTGAGCACCAAAAGGCTGACAGGTATTTGCTGGAAAGCTGGAGGTCCATGCTAGAGGCTATAGAGTCTGTGCTGAAAGCCAGGAGAGGACATCCAGGGTGAAAGCAAAGATTGGAGCTCCTCTGAAGGTAACAGAAGCAATCCTTCCTTCTTCATTTCCCTTTTCTAGCATTCTAGGGATACTACTCCTCCCTAGGGTGGGTCTTCCATACTCAGAACTATACTGAGCAAATTTAGTTGGGGGTAATTTACTCAAGTTGACACATCAATCAACTGTCACACCCTTGTATTATTACTCTTACTTCATCCATTTTCCTTCTACTCGCCATACTGTATTTCTGGAGCAGTTTAAAGCTAATTCTAAACATCATTATTTCATCTATAAATAACTTTTCTTTCTTTCTTTTTTTTTTTTTTTTTTGGTTTTTTGAGACAGGGTCTCACTATGTAGTTGAGACTGCTCTGGAAATCCCTGTAGACCAGGCTGGTTTTGAACTCGCAGTGATCCTCCTTGCCTCAGCCTCTCAAGGGCTGGGATTACAGACGTGTGCCACCACGCCCAGCTTCATCTATGAATATTTTATGATAAACAAGAATGACTAAAATATGGATATTATATTCAACATAATTTGTAGTAAATTACTAATAGCAGATGCTATTTTACTCATCACATACCCTATACAAAAAAGCTGCATTCAAAAGAATGATAGATTTCCTGTTTGTGATTTCTTTTATAAACACAGTAAAGTGTTCTCCATTGACTTTGTAGCGTTGATGTAAAGCCATAATAGTCTTAATGACATTCAGTGACATTTTTTCTAAATTCCAATAGTTTGTAAATTCTTGTGTTATATTTTGACGGTAAGAGCTAGGTCTGCATAGTTTTATCAAATACTAATTAAAAGCTAATTCAAACAAGATCTGTCAAAGCAAAATTAACTATCTTACCAATCGGAGATTGATCTCATATGTCCTTAGTATTCTCAGTTGTAAAGCTGTCTGTTTTAAACACAGGCCAGAAACTACGTATTTTTCAGGATATATAACCACACAATTGAGTTTTAAGCTCCGCGCATGAAATAAATGTTTATAAAGCACACGTTGAAAAAGCTCACCCACTGTCTTCTAATTGTAACCAGTTTTCAGTACATTCAAGGTGCAGTGGACCCACGGTACAGATTCATCTAATATTCACGTGGAAAGAGATGTGGAAACCATTTAAGGCTACTTTCATTTTAGATCGGACAAAACTCTAGCTAAAGAAGCAGGAGGTCCATTTTATTCCAATTGGTAATATTATTTATTGCCTCATTTTTTACCTATCTCGTGTTTTAAAATTTCTGTAACATTATTTTTGTAAGAAAGTAACAATCATTATGACCGATTAGGTGGCGACGCTTTCTTTGAGGTACACATCAGGAGCGCATCGACATCTTTCTCTTCTCTTTCAGAGGAGCTCACCAGGACTCTCCATTTTTCACTTACTCTCCGTCTACGGAGTCATTTTTGACACCACTGAAGAGGGGATGGATTTAAAAATTACGAGCCACATTTCTTCTCTTTGGCAAAAGGGACACGCTTCAAAACCTATCCCTCTTCACGGCCTGAGAGCCCGCAGCGTACGCTTTAATTTAAACATTGGCTCATCTGTTTATTTTCAGTTTGGCTGTCAGTAGAAAGGGCGGCCGTTGCCGTGGCAACCGACACCCC